ACAACCAATAAATTGATAAACAACTTCTTAATTTCTTATTTCATTCATTTGTATCAGAACTGTTTCAGTGTGAGTTAGAACTATCGCTTGATTAATGGTTTGGCTTTAGAAATTATGTTTTCTCTCTAAAGAACGTTTATATACTGTGTTCAACTATACACACGAAATTTAATCATAATTCCTCGGTTACGAAACATGTTTGAAAAATATATTTCATTAAAAATTCAAATTTGTAACTGAAGTCTTGTCTCGTAGCGTTGTTTTGTTGCATTGTTTTGTTGATTCAAAAGCAAACAACTTAGATATCATATCTGTTACATGAGAAGTCTTTGTTGAAGATAAAGGACAATAAAATAACGAGTTTCAGGTAGACAGAAAATTGCGAAAAAAGTTTATTTCTTTGGGGTGATTCAAAATTACAATTCTGGCTTGAGTATAATTTTAATTCAATGTGTCTAATACAAAAGTTTTTTGGGATTGATTCTTGAAACAGTAAAAATTGAAGTCAGTTTTAAGCAAAAACCTGCGGAATTAAGAATTTATGTACATTTTTCAGCCAATCTTTAGAATTAAATGCTCAAAAATTGGTAAATGCTATAAATCTAATTTTTGGTGTCCGTACTTAGCACATAAAACCCCAGCTTTCACACTGGGGCACTATTGATTTCCTAAAGGAATGTGAAAAATTAACCTGTCTTAATGATACAGTGAATCATGTTTCCTAGTAGCAGACGTAGTTATCGATTCGATATAATAACTCCACTTGATGTCAGTGAAGGCGCAATGTGTTGCTCTCTTCGAACTAGAAAGCATGACTCTAAGAGTAGAAATTGGAGAATATTAGGATATGGAGGTATTGTAACGTTTAATCCTTAACTTGAAGAAGGTAATATTGTAGCATTCGGGGAAGAGTCCACTCGAGAACCAGTTCCACAAAACATCGATTCCTGTAGAAAAATTATACTAGTCGAATTTCCTTTGAAACAGGAAGAATGAAGGTAGATTGATTTCATGGATGTAAAATGGTGAGTCTTTAAAAATCCGAACAGTTCTTTGGAAATAGCGTATTATATTTTATTTAGCTTCTCTTTCAACTCGTTTCATATACTTCGGTCAATGCGGTTGTTTTATTGACATTGGGTATCAGAAAACATTGTCAGTGAACCGTGGCCAACTGGTGTGTCCGTTCATGCGTACTTCGGTTCTCGTTCTTTACGACAAAGTAGTGTAATCTTGTATCGAAGAGTGTGCATTAGGATTTGGATATATCCTCTCCGTAAGATGTGTTGAAAGCTGCTGGTCTATCTGTAACTGTTTGGGGTGGGTCCTGTTTGAGTTCAAAGGGGTTATATTTGATACAAACTGTTGTGAATTGGTTTTTCATACCCAGATATTATAGTTGATAATTTTCACTCGTTTTTGATTTTAATGTTTGTGATGATTTGTTCCACCTAAATATGGCACCCAAACTTCATGTAGGAAATTCTTTGTAGGAAGTGCTCGCTTACATTGAACTCTTATACTGTTCCTCAGTCAGATTTAAACCCGCATTTATTTGTTCGACAGTGTATACCCCATAATCATGTAGCAGAGCTCACTAAATTTGCAGAAACAAACTACTCATTTATATAATAGCTGACCGCTGGAATCCGAATTGCCTGTCACTGTTGCTCAGGTACATTTGTCTTTTTTCAACAACCACCACATTTTTTTAACCAGTAAGCCTTTCCCAAGTTTTTTATTTCCCTCTTAATACAAGACGAAAGATTTCACATTCAAATCTATAGATCAATGTGTTTTCTAAATGGCAAGGCTTGTGATGTGCTTACGTTTAACTGTAGTGAGATCCTATCGACAGTTGTTTGATATGGATTAAGTAACGACCCACTGACATGGCATTTGTCGGTCAAGTCTTCCCAATGATTAAAGTGAACGGTCAATGTTCCCGCCATGTTCGCCTCAACAGCAGCGCTACTTGAGTAAATTGCACATAAAGGAATTAATAATCAAACCGTGCTGGTTATGGAGATGCATAGCTTCAGGCCAGGTAGAATATCTGTGATAACCAAAGCACGTTGACGAACATCTCTTTAATAAGTATGAAAGTTTCTGAGGTGGATATTCTAATTATGGAAGAGGTCATTTGCTCCGATGAGTCTCCGTATTACATATGCGTTGTATCCTGAGGAAATATATAGGAAGATATTTCATGGCAAAACAACATGATGTTTTGGAAACTGTTTACTGGAAAACCTGGATCTCTCCAATATAAGTTAACTTCAGCGAATACAATCTATGTTGAATCTTGGCTATTGTTTTCCTTTTTAAACTAATACTCACCCCATACAAGCTCCAAATCCACCCAAGGAAGATGGCCACTGAATAAAGTACGTTATATCAACCTTAAGAGGAGTAATTATGAAAAGATGTGTATAAGGTTACCAAGGTTATATGATTAACTCTCGATAATAAAAGGTTATGGTTGTAATGTTCGTCGAATGTGTGTGTCTGGTGTAATGGATTGTGGCTAGGAGTGCGGATTTCGAATTCCAGCCGTGTTAGTTACATTCACTTACTCGCGAATACCCTTTAGAAAGATATGAATTCATCCCTCTTCCCCACACAAGCTAAGGAGCTATTTGACCTCTCTGTGGTCGATATTTCTTCATAGGTAACTATTCTAGAGATTTTGACTCGATAAAATTACGTATTTCACATGAAATCTGTCCCATCGGTGGCGATGCATCAGTCAATGAAAGCAAACAGTGACTCAAATTATTCAGTACAGTGAGTATTTATTCTGCCGCAGGCGAAGAAAGCGTTTACTTTTTGTTGTTATTCCTGGAAGAATCCATGCGTAATTCTGTCCCTCAAAATAACAGTACATGGTAAGAAGCTGTCTGAGTGAAATATCTTTTTTACCAATGTGGGACGTATGAAATGAAGAAGAATCAGACCTGTGGATATAGAAAACAGAACGCAATGTTATTGTTCAGTCTGCATACGTCTTGTCACACTGTAAGATTTATAAAGGAATGTTATTAAAGAACACGATTAAAGGCTGTGAAGACTGGACATTAATATAGCCTATTATCCTATTTAGCATATCGGATATTGAGGACAATTCTGCTCTTCTAAACGTCTACCAATTAAACTGCTACAGTTAAATTTTCTAGATAACATTCATGTTGCTTCGACCATGTAACCCAGCAGAAATAAGCTCGTGTTGATTATCAAATATGTAATGAATGAGAAAATAATGAATAAGTACTAATGGATGGGAAGAAGGAGGATGATGTCTGACAAGCCTGGGATAAACGTGTGATATGTCTGAAGGAGAAAATGGAGTATTGGAAGAGTTATTAAATGGTGTAATAAATATTTTCTCCACTACAGCCACTTACTCACAGAAACGACTTTGCAAATAAAATCTAATCTTTTCATATTGCAAGCATTCAGAAGAACTCTAATGTCTCGTCCCACCATTTAGGAACAATTCAGTGAGGACATGACCTGCTGCTTCCAGGGAATCAAATCATGTGGTCGTTGTTCCAAATATAGGAAGAATGTTCCACTCAGTTTTTCCTCTTGAGTTGCGAGTACCTCACTTAGTATTTTAATCTTGACCCATTCACTTCAGTGTGTCAATCGTTATCTTTCCTACTTTCGTTCGCGAATATATATATATATATATATATATATATATATATATATATATATATATATATATATGCATGTATGTATGAAACTGTTTTTTGGATAATCTCAGATTCCTCTCGATGGCTTGAATCAATTTTCATTATACACCCTATTTACATAAATGACCCTGTAACGAACAAGGGGGGGATATCACAAAAAAATGTGCGTGCGTGCGTGTGTATATGTCCCAGCATGTATGTTAAACCGTTTTTGAAGAGGCTCCACCAGACACAATAAGTGTATCCGAGTAAAGACAAATGCAGCATTTATTTTCAAAATATTGAAATTTGCAGACAAAAGTACCGTACGTTTGCAATAGTCAAGCAAACCACTTTTATAATTTCGCATCAATCATTCCCATTGTTTAAAAGCCCTGATAGATCGATCGATCGATAAATAATATATATATATATATATATATATATATATATATATAGTTAGATAGACAGGTAGATATATTGGAACTGACTAATATATGTAGATATGTAGGGAGCATTTTAATATTGATTAATAGATATGTGGAAATATATTAATATAGATAGATTGATAGTACGAAACAGACTAACATACATAGATAGAGTGATAAGTGTAGATAGATAGATAGATAGATAGATAGATAGATAGATAGATAGATAGATAGATAGATAGATAGATAGATAGATGCTTATCTTGTACTTCAAATAATGGTGAAAATAATTTTGTCAACGCAGTTCGATATAATGCGATAAAAAAGCATCTGACGTCATTCGATCAACGTAGATTTAAAAGAACTTCGATAGTGTCGTCAGAAAGTCTGGCTTGTTGATCAAATGCATTCATATCGTCGATGCTTTTCTTGGGAAAGTGAAAGTGAGAATTTAAAAAAAAAATCGACTCTTCGCAATAGAGTTCCACTTTCGAAATTAATGAAGTAAAAGCGATTATATTCTTCGCTGAACCCAGTTCGCGTGCAGTAAATGTTGACAATTAATAACGTATCTGTGATTGTACGGATTGCCTTTTTCATTAATATTACTCTAGTTATACTGATGACGGCTATGGCATGGTATCTCTAAAAAATAATAGAAGTGTACTTATTAAGTGGTGTCACTAATAGAACACTGATTGTCTGGTTCTCGGAAAAGTAGTGCTGAAAATAATTCATGGAGATTGTGTCATAGAGGACATGCGGTCTATTTTACGGTGACGTGGATCATAATTGTCGTGAAAAATGTCTTTCAACTGTTCCCAGTTGGATATCTCTCAGAATCTGACCACATTCAATATATAAAATTACAGTTTTATATCCAATTTGTACGGGCTTACGTCCATATCACGTTCAAACGCCGGTTCATGTCGAATCATCGAAGTTAAGCAACGTTGAACCCGGTCAGTACTTAGATGGGTGAATCTTTGGGAATAACAGATGCTGTAGGCTTGGTGACGAAATGGATAATGGCTCCTAAATGGAAATCAAAAAGCCGAATTACAATTTCAATTGCGTCTAGCATTGAACAGCCTGTCGCCTCTGAGTTTTGACTTCAATGTCCACTTTTATATTTATATTTGCATATGTTGTATGTCTGATATTGAGCACTTTAACCCATAAATATAGCACACCTTCAAAGTATATTTCTTTATATAAATGTATAAATATATATATGTATATACATATACATATATATATATATATATATATATATATATATATGTGTGTGTGTGTGTGTGTGTTTTGTATATATATATATATATATGAGTTGAGATCAAATATGGATCGAAATCTGAATGAATTTTAAGATAAATAATAAATAGGAAATGTTTCGAATCTAACAACTTTTATTAAAGTTTCAACAGAGAATCAGATCTGGAGAAAATAAAGAAAATAATCAAGCATATTTAACTTTGTATTGTTTGGTTTTCTTTGTTTAATCGGGTTTCTGGTGCATTCATATCTTAAAAGTATTGTTAGTATAATTCGTGTCGTTCCGAATTCAAAGAATTCAGCCAAAGTTTCAAGAAAAGGATTCCAAGCCTACCTCAAATACCGTAATTAATACAATATATATATATATATATATATATATATATATATATATATATATATATATATATTTAATGAAAACAGACCACTTTTAAGGTACCATCACTATTTTATAAGGAGCTAATAGTTAAGTTATGAAGAACTTGGTAAACCGAATGGGTAATTCCAAGGAGGATGAAATTATTTTATAAGGAGCTAATATAAATTAAATATTAGCTCTGTATTCACATTGAGCTCTCAGGGTAATGGTACCTTAAAAGTGGTCTGTTTTTTCATTAAATATTAGCTCTGTATTCACATTGAGCTCTCAGGATTTCATCCTCCTTGGAATTACCCATTCGGTTTACCAAGTTCTTCATAACTTAACTTATATATATATATATATATATATATATATATATATATATGTGTGTGTGTGTGTGTGTGTGTGTGTGTGTGCGTGTGTGTGTGTGTGTGTAAGTGTAGAAATTGATTTAGATTGTCTATATGGAAATCAGATGATAATATATAAGTGTGCGTGTCTATAATTGTATGTGAGTGTGTGGTGCCTGTATCGCTAGCAAACATAACTATGCCCCCCAACCTACTGGTCTTTTACCAGAAGAAGATAATTTCACGTAATAAATAGTTCACCTCCCTGTATAAAAAGAATATATATATATCAAAGCGCATATCAATTTTTACTCTGTAGAGATTTAGATTCTCAGCTGACTAATACAGCCCCGATTAGACTATCGGCTTCAATCAATCATTAGAAATCATTAGAGTTCGTTAAAGGAACGCGTTAGGAAAATATGATATCTTGTTGTTCAGCGCTTTTCAGATATGATGAAGTATTCTGCACTAATTTACAGAAATACTAATAACAGATAAGACGTTTTGAACTGCATGCTAACTTTATAATCGTCTATCAGTGAAGATGTTTCAGATGACTAGCGGGAAGACAGAGGAGATTGGATTTTGAATGATATTAATGCTTGTAGCAAGATAAAAATAGTTCTATGTGCAAAGGATGTTATAATGACCCAGAACATATTCTGAAAGCAAACCGCTTGCGTATGGATAGAAAATGAATGAATTAGGTACACAAAAATAGTAAGAGTCTTGAGACAAGAATGTGTTTTCTCTCTCTCTCTGTCTCTCTGTCTCTGTCTCTCTGTCTCTCTCTCTCTCTCTATCTATCTATCTATCTATATATATATATAAGTTGGGATCAAATATTGATCTGAATCCGAAAGATTTTTAAGATAAAGGACAAATAGTGTCTTAAAACAAGGATATCTCTTCTCTTATATTCAATTTTCACAGTGAGGCTATCTTATCGAAGGGAGTAAACTTAACAATATAAGATGCACAGAGGAGACTGTGCTGACACAGAAAAAGAAGAACAGAAACTCCGAGACAATAAAGAGAAAGAAAAATGAGATCAAAAGGACAAAGCATCAAATAAAAGAAGGCAGAAAGAAGGTGAAAAATGTGAACATTGAATTAAAGAAGTCGACATCGAACAAGAAAAGAAGTTTAAATAGCTGGGAAGTGTTTCCATTGGTGATTCTAAATACGATACCTGAATCAAACAACGCGCCTGCGCAAAATTAAGAATATAAATGGTGAAAAACATAATGATTGCATTCCGGTTCTTCAGAATAATACTTAGAATGCCATGGATGGTGTCAGTAAGCAACGACGAATTCATAAAGTAAATGGCAACAAAATGTACACTTATACTAACATTCAGAAAGAGAAGGCTGATATTTATAAGGCAAATATGAGGAAGGAAGACTTCAAAAGTTCACAGGGCATATTGTTGTCAATAAAATAGGTGAAGACAGTACGCCACCTACATGACGAACTAATGGTGGAATGAGGGTTCGGGTGACTTGGCGAAAGGAAAGGCAGTGTTATGGGCGACAAGGGATACGATGTTTGGTCGCGACCTCATCTGCCATGTCTAGATATAATACAGCACAAATAGAAAGAGTCTGCTATAAACACATTTGACCAAAATTAATCGTAAGTAACAGACGTTAATGAATTTGACACTCTTTTGGGATTTCATATCAAATTTGAGTATAAAACGAACTGTACTCTGATAAAATGGATTTGATTTGATCTTTCATATATATATATATATATATATATATATATATATATATATATATATATACCGCAAGGAAATTTCCTGTTTCGCGCCAGAAAGTTTTTTCTCCCCCGAGTCCATCCTTCAAATCTCTAAATCAACTATTCGCCCTTGTATGGAATACTACTGACATATATGGTCTGGTGCCCTCGCTTTTCGTTTCTTAAGGTCCTCGACAAAATCCAAGAACGGATATGCGGGATTTGTCCTGATCTGGCATCTCATCTACAGTCGCTCTCTGTCAAAACGGTTAAATGTGACCATAACTTCTATTCCAATTCATGTCTCACTCTTCCGGTCTGTAGAATTCCCTTCCTATTACTTGTTTCCCTGATAGCTATAATTTCCACCTATTCAAATGTAATGTCAATCGACATCTCTTGATGTCCCGACCTATTCCCTGTTCTTCTCTTAATCCTTTCCTCCATCATGCCGCTTTAATTTCGCTCCCAATCTGTAACCCATTGCGTGCTCGTGGCATCCCCCTTTGCTTGGGGTGAAATACTAAAAAGAAAAAGATCTATTTATATAGATTATATATGTATAAATATGTTTAGTGTTCAAACTTGTTTAAGCATGTACTAGGGATCATTGAAAATATATTAATATATCATGATTGTCTACAGACAGACACACAGGCGGACACAACCTCAGACGCACAAACACACACACACACACACATACACACGAGCACACACACGAACATATATATATATATATATATATATATATATATATATATATATATATATATGGGAGGATGCGTTTGAGTCAGTATGTATATGTTGCAGATGAATATATTATAAGAAATCCGAAAGAATGAATAATAATAATAATAATAATAATAATAATAAATAATATATTTTTCGAACATAAGAAAAAATAGAAGCATGAAGTTACAAATGGTTAAGAACGTGTGTATATATATATATATATATATATATATATATATATATATATATATATATACATACATACACACACACACACACACACATATATATATATATATATATATATATATATATATATATACTGTCAACAACAAAATTATTCGTACACCCATCAGTTTTGAATAATCTTTATCCATTTCTCAGAATCTAATGTCCATATAATGACAGGTTTTTTATATGTCAATAAGCACTTTGAGAGTCGAATAGAAAAATTAAATTGGAAATTATTCGTACTGTATGAAAAAATGAACAATTGTCACAATATTAATAGTCAATAGCATAGTCTCTCATCTTTATTAATTGATGCAATCCTTTTCTAAAGATTTTCGTTCTTTGAATAAGTCTATTCTCATATTTTCTTCCATTCTTCAATACTTACTTGTTGAAGGTTTTTTGTGACCAAAGTTTTATTCGACCTTTCAGTTCTTACCATAGATTTTCAATAGGATTCAAGTCAGGACTCATTGAATTTCATGACAGCAATGTAATCATTTTAATCTTTTGTAATCTTTTAATCTTTTTTTTTTTTTTTTTTTTTTTTGAAGTCACTGATTTTGACATGTTTGGGATCATTATTTTGCTGGAAATAAATCGCTGAACAAGATGAAGATTTTCTCTCATAGTTGTAGATTTTCATTCCGAATTTTGATAGTCTGCAGATTTCATTATTCCCCTTGTTGCAATTAATTGTACAGTCTCCCTTGAGTTAAAACAACACCAAAACATCATTGAGTCCTCTCCATGTTTTAATGTTGCCACAGTTTTCTTTGGGAGGAAGGGTTACCTTCCTTGCGTCATATCATCTGTACATGATAATGTGCAAAATTCTCTATTTTTGTTTCATCCCTCCATAGTACTTGTTCCCAAGCGCAATTCTCTTTTGTCCAAGGACGTTTTGGAAGAATAAAATCGGACAACAATCTAGCATGGTTTGTGAAGAGAGTTTCATCGTGGTTCGTTTCCATTCAACCCATTTCTATTTAAGCTACCTTGTATTGCACGAGTACTTACACTGTTATACATCTGATGCAAATTTTTGGCGATGTCTTTCAAAATAATTCTTGGATTTATATTAACCTCGCGACACAGTTTTCATGCACTTCTCGGTCGCAATCTGTTTTCCCTAGCGATCAGGCAAATTCTCTGCCGGGCCAAACACTTTAACCTTCTTTATAACGGACTGTACCGTATATCTAGGGATAGATGACCGGTAGTGGAATTTAATAATTCTCTGTCTAAAGTCAAGGCTAATCTCCTTTGTCTTCCCTGTCGTGTTGTTAACGTAAGTTTAACAATGTTGAC